CTGTATTTGTTTGTAGCGAAGGTTAACTACGTCGATCGGCGTTGTAATAACCGTCGATGGTTATATAGTTAGCTTATATACGCTGGAAGAGGAGATTGGACTGGAGGTCCGGATAGCGTAACTGGCAACGCATCTGCACGGTAAGCAGGAGTTGTGGGTTTGAGTCCCGCTCCGGGCCGATTTTTTCTCCCAGCGGTTCTAAATTATTTAATTTAATTAATTTATTTATAATTATTAATATTAATAAGAGATGGCGCCTAACGCCTACCTCTAGAGCCAAATTGGTTACGTAATTAATTTAGTAATTAGCCTATAACTAGCCCGATAGATTTTCGGCATATGGTTGGTGTTTAGTTATGTTATATATCGGGTGTAGCAATGTTTGTTTAATATATTATAAAAATAGCAGATTGTCATTGGCAACAGCAAAAGAGAGGAAACATCATTTGCACTTGTTTGCAGAAAGACTGTTGTTCGCCTCATGTAAATGATGAGTGGAAAGTCCGTTGTTTGCAGCCAGTCTGTTGCTCAAGTCACGTAATGGCCAAACAGAAAGTCCGTTGTTTGCAGCGTCCATTATTCAAGGCACCACTGTATTTTATTAATACAATAGCAAATACAATAAACACCCGTATTAGGTGCAGATAAAACATTCTCATCAACAGAAATAGTTTAGTACAGAATTCATCTTTACTTCAACACCAAAGTAAAATCCTCACTTCTGTAACCTATTACAGAAATGACATTCGATTTCGTTTTAAATCTTTACGTTCCATTCTGAAGCATTCCAAATCTATCTGACCCAGAGAAAAACTTTGAGATAGTTTGAAAATATTTGTTACCCTCTATTTTTTTTACATGTAACATACCAGTAACAGTTTACAGAAGTCAGAAATAGTTTGTCAATACTTTCTAATGCACGTTCGATTTTCTTCGACTGACTAGACGCAAGCCAAATTCTTAGCCAATCAGAGAAAAGCGGCGTTAATTGCAACTATGTACCGCACGGCAAGAGACGTTTCTCGACCGCAGTTTACGTCGTCAAAATTTAGACATGGAGCTTCAATTCGAATCGACATTTCGGTCCATAATTTGAGATATAAAGATTTAGGGAGAAAATTATTTGGGATAAACGTGGAAATATATTGAATTTAGGGCAAAAATGCAAGAGAAAAATATATTTCGAGATAAACACATTTCAGATAGACAGGTTCTACTGTATTAAAAAGCCGAGTTATTCAATAAATTAATAACAAAATTTAAGTACACGAGCCACATAGTCAATCTAAATTAGCAAAATGGCCTTAACAAAATTTGAATATTTATATTTGGTGAACTTTGAGAGAACCTTATAACAATTGTTTGCAGGAGGGCAATCCACACAAAAAGGTTTTACACATTAGAAAGAGTTGCAGAATTGAATTCGGTTCTCGAAGGCCTGGCAAGTAACCGGACATAAAGTAATTATTTCATTCGGTATTTATTTTCGTAACGTAAATTTAGTTTATTCATCTAACTCAAAGCAATACGGCTATAGTTTCGTAATGTAATTTAAAGCCAAATAAGTAATTAGCATGGCAAAGACCGAAAAAACACTGCAAGCAAAATGTCGAAGCGTTACTTTCCTCTCCTTTGACTTATGGCCAAGGAAACACTGCAAAAAATGCCGCATCCACCTTAAATTGATACGCGGCTAGTATAAATCGATAAGATATACTTTGGACAATGCAGATTCTTCCTTGCTGTTTGCTAGAAATTAAATTTGGAAAAATTAAAGGAAAATCAGGATCAATTTTTAGGCGTGTTTAACCAAACTAGAAGTGAATATCTCAAAGGATCATACTAGACCAGTGTTCCGCAACCTTTTTCTACTCGCGGCACACCTATGACTCAACATGGCACACCAAAATGTTATTCCCCTCAAAAACATATATGATATGATACTATTAGTAGAATTTCGTAATGCCATAAATCTATTATTATTATTATATTGAGTTTTGTGAGTTACACTCTGTTGACAACAATGGCTGTGTACTATGCCAAACCAGAGTCAAGGCATAGCAACAAAAACAAGACAAAAATTAAATAAGTGTGTCAGTATGTGTCTGTATTCAGGAATTTCCTAACAATATGGCATATATTCAATATAGTGGCCTTCTGTAGTATTATATATGTATTTCTATTCAATTGTAATGTTCCCAGGCTTTTGTGTAGTGTGTGTGGTATCACACCTGTACAGGAGAGAATAACATGTACAATAAGCACCCTATCCATCCTCCACAGATGCCTTATTTCCTGGGCGAGTTCTGTGTACTTGCTAATTTTTTCAGTGCATGTGTTTTATACATTGTGAGTGTTTGGAATGGCTATGTCTATAATGTATGTGATTTTATTGTGTTTGTCAATGAGTGTGACGTCTGGTCTGTTGTGGTAAATTGTTTTATCTGTGATTATGGCTCTGTCATAGTACAGTTTGTGCGTGTTGTTTTCAGATACTGTCTGTGGAATTTATTTGTAGTATTGTTTGTGGATGTCTAATAATTTGTGTTTGTTTGCAAGCTCTTGGTGTATTATGTCTGTGTAAATAATCTATCTGTGCCAAGAACTTGAAACCAGAAGTAATGTGTTGTATTGTTTCTGGCACGATGTGACATTTTCTGCATGTGTCATTTGCGAGTGTTGTATCTTTGAGTACGTGTTTTCTGCAGTTTTTAGTATTTATGACCCGATCCTGTACGGCAATCACGAATCCTTCCGTCTCCCCAAAGAGGCATCCCCGAGCCAACCGGCCATTTGACGCAGTTTTGTCAACAAAATCCCGGGCCAGGTCGTAAGGACGTCTGTCAAGGAGCTCCTTTCGAGCCCACGATTGCTTAACGGTGTCTATTCTATTTATATGCTGTGTCCATACTTTGCGAATGTAAATTTAACGGTGTATTATTTGAGTCTGCTAGAGTTACTGCTTTGTGTAACTATAATGTTTCTTGTTTCCTGTAGAAAAACTCTCGCAGCGACTGTATTTGTTTGTAGCGAAGGTTAACTACGTCGATCGGGCCACGTCCGCCATCTTTACGTGGAAGGGTTAATCTTTCTACGGAAGATTTGGGACGACGAAGTTTACGCTTAGTAAGCGTCGTTCTCGTTTTCGTTCGGAGTCGCTCGAGATCCGTGCGAGTCCAACGTATAACTCCAAAAGAGTACGAGAGTACCGGAACGACATACGCGTTTATTGCTTTATCATCATCTTATTTCACCGGTGAACGAAATACAAGCATAAGAAACACAATAACTGCGATAAAAAATATATAAATAAAACTTGAGATTAATAGAATATGTGAAAGTTCAAGTCACACCTTTCACCTCGCGACGGCACACCGTACTAGACCTATGGTTGATGCTGGTTTGTTTTGATACAGGAAGGGCCTGCAACCCTAGTACGATACGTATTAGGAACGGAGGCCCTTCATGTACATTACGCTCAATCGAGATAAATCTTAGCTGAAAAATCACGAACGAAAAGAAGTTATCTTTTTAAATACGGTTTAAGATTAACAAAGCATGTTGTGTGCAATATTTTAAAAAGAAAACGTCATCCTTGCCACTTACTTTAACGTCAATGTCTAGAAAACCTCCTTCCGCAACTTCGAATATTAATCCCATTTTCGTATCTGCTTTTACTCTTTCGAAGAAGCATTCTTCCGTGTGCGCTCCCACAGTTACAAAATAACATTCGGAGAAGTTTAAAAATAATGTCACCATCAACAAGCAGACAAACGTCGACTCGAACGAGGAAGCCATCTTACAGATTACGTCAGTGCTGCCAACTTCACCATTGCTGTAAAAATTGGGCTTTAACGTTTTGCGGGTTGTTTTTTAAATACGCATTGTTTAGTAACTTATTCTAGTGGATAAAATTTCTAATTTGTAAATTATTATTACATTTTCATTAATTTGACTATTCTCCCGCTGTAAGTAAAATACAGCAGAATCTCCGCCCTTGTTTTTAAACTCTTTCTACAGGCTTTAAAGAGAGCGAGCTCGTTACGGCTTCGACCGGGTGATTAGACATCGATGTCCTCACAAAATAATCCCGGGTCCTCCACAGCTATACGCCGCTACCTTAATCCGGCTTTCAATTCCGTTTTCCGTCCGTGCAATAGAGTTAAATTGTTAGCGGATAAGAGCGCGGATAATGGGAGTGTGTCGGCAAATTTCCGCGAATAGTCGGGAAAATCACGCCGCAGAAAGAAACGCGGCAATGTAAAGAATGGGCACGAGAGATAGGGAGAATGAGGAAGAGAGTCATCCTTCTCGACTAGCACTTTGTACGAAACCTCAATATCGACCATAGATATCGGTCGGAAAAATCATCTCCACGCCCCTCACTGATAAAAGCCCGAGAGAATAAGTCTTCCAAAATGGTAAAACGTCCTCCTTTAGGACACCGTAAGGCAGACACGTCCTTCGTTTTGACTTTAAACACTGTCCTCTCCCTATTCAAACCTTTTTAGATCGTTTCCGATTTATTTGCTAATCCTGTAGAGCATTAAGAAAGCCTTTCTCGTGTTTTAATGGACGAAAAAGGGCCTCTTAATGCTCGGGGGTACGGTTTAAATTTTAAAAAGTCTGTCTCCCACTTTTTCAGAAATGATTTCGTCCCAGTTTTGATCCTTGTAAATATGGAGAGATTGGCGATTGGATTACAGGATGTTAACATTTTATTTATTTATATTCTTAATAAAGAATAATATTAACAGTTTCGTTTTTAAATTTACAAATCATGCCGTCTTTCAATAAACCACGCTTCGCTTTTCTCGGTGAGTCAAATATATTTTGTTCAATTCTTTATTTTTCTATTAATTAATTTTAATTTTAATTTAAAATATTACGGATTAATAAATCCATAATACTTTTTATCTCGTATTCAAACTTATTATAAGCTTAACGATTGTTTCTAATATTATAATTACGATAGAATTTAAATACAGTGTTACCCGCGAACTTACGCGATAGGTGGGACCGAGCGATAACCGCGTAAGTCGGCCTATAATTTCGCAATTCGTATAAAATCCGAGTCGGATGTACGTAAGATAATAAATGTTCTCGTTAATCGTATCTCGTCTTTCGATTCGTTCGCGGTTACGAGAAATCACCACAATAGAGCAGTGGCGTGCCGTGACATTTGATGATAGGGAAGCTGTGTTTCTATAAGAAGCCGACTTCCAGGGGCAATCAGTCAGCAATGATCTAGGGCACGGGTCGGCAACCTTTTGAGTCGGAAGAGCCAAAATTACAATTTACAAAATTTCAAAGTTTTTAAAGAGCCACAACATGTTTTCTTGCCAACAGTAAATAGTACTCGCATAAATAAAGTTTTTTGATAAAAAAAAACTAATCTATTTATTCATAAGAAAAAAATATCTATTTATTCATATATAAGCAGTGTTTTTCACAACAAATTAGATAATAGAAACATCCGACGACGGCGTCATTCGAGAGCTTCCGACGGACTGACGACAGTGACGACGCGTGTGACGGGGGAGGGATGCGGTGAAAAGCGAGTACAAGTGGCTGAGAGATAGAATCAGTGCCTAATCCTCGTTAATCGATTCAGAACGATTTTTAAATGTTTTTTTTTTTTTATAATAAATAATATTTGCATATGGAACTAAAGAGCCGCAGCTTCGCATCCAAAGAGCCGCATGTGGCTCGCGAGCCGCAGGTTGCCTACCCCTGGTCTAGGGTCCATTCGTATTCGTTTGTTCGATAAGCCAGTAAAAACCCGTAGACTTCTCTAAATGTATTTTTAATTAATAGATTATCTAACGCACTTAATAAATAAGCAAGTTCAATATAATTAACTCTCTTATATTAGATTTAATAGATTCTATACGCCCTCTAAATGCCAATTCTCGCTTCGATAACATCTACTAATTAAAATATATCTATTAGCCGTAACTATCTTGTTATAATTTTCAATATATATTTTATATTGTGTACTAATGTTAAATTCTATTCTATTTTGATTTCCAAATTGCTTCAATTTTACGAAAGAATCGATGCGAGATTTAGGATTTTCGTGTCTTTTGCCAGCTTTACTCAAATTATTTAAATCGTCAAAGCCAATCTCATTCTACACACTAATTTTATTTGAAAATAGTAGGCAAGGCCAACAAAACAAATTTTGCATTTTTATGCATCCACAAAGCCATTTTATATCTTCATAAATTTTATCATGAAAATGTCGAACAAATTTTTTCTTTTTCATTATATGGTCTCGAGCCAAAACTTTTTGAAATAAATTTTCGATATCACAATTACATTCTAAATTGCTAGCTATAATATAAGGGCTAAAATTAAAAATAAAATTATAAAAACTTACTTGTTAAAATAAAATGTGTGATGATATACAATTATACATACCTGGTACAAAATATTCAATTGTATGAATATACTTTTAAAGAAAATTATAAATATAGTTTTGTGAAGAAACGTACATAAAAATAACATAAAATAGTCTTTACTTTTTAAATATTAAAACAATCCACCTAGTTAAAATTGCTCCCTACCAGTGGCTCGTGGATGGAATCAGAGACGGTCTTGGTAGGTGTGCGGTGCGGTGCATGCTTGCCAAATCCCGAGGGTGCCGATACCGGTTAATGTCTCTTTTGTCTCATCACTAGTATATCTCAAAGGACGCGACAGGGTTGTTGTAAATTTTAAACGTTTCTCATCATAGCTGTAAAAATCTAAATTTGTTAAACTTAAAAGTCATTTGTTTTCTAACTACTGTAATTCGTTTTAAGACCAGGTGTCCACGGAAATTTCCAAAATTTACAACTTTTACTCACTTTCATTGAACTGGAAAAATTTCTGTCTTCATTACTCAAATATTACGAAGAAATCAGTCCCACTGTACTCGGCTAGATATTGGTCCGGTTAGCCATTTGTTTAAGTAAAATTCCGGCTCTTTCATCAGGGTTTTGTTTACGTCACCAATTCCCTAATCGCTTAATTATTTAACTACTTCTTAAGTAGAAATAAGTCGAAACCAGTTACTTTGTACTCGAATATTTGTAGTCTCGGGAAAGAAGTGGAAAGACAAATTTTTACGACAACGGATACATAAATCGTAAATTTAAGGAAAATAAATTCTAGGGCCTTTTCTACATCTAATTTAATCTAATTTAATGAATGAGAGAGATGCACCAGGTACTGGTGCATCTCTCTCATTCATTAAATTTAGTTCTAAATGACTCTGTCGAAGTAACGGTTAATTTTTTTAACATTATACAAGAATTGTACACGTTTTTTTCTACATCCCCTTAAAGATGGGATGTACGAAATCGTAATATCACCGGTTTAACATCGAAATCCCTAATATAAAATCGGAGAGCGGAATAAATATATCAAATATTTTAATTGATTTTTTAACTCCTGTAAACTATACGAAATTATCGNAATTTGGCACTAGAGGTAAGCGTTAGGCGCCATCTCTTATTAATATTAATAATTATAAATAAATTAATTAATTTAAATAATTTAGAACCTCTGGGAGAAAAAATCGGCCCGGAGCGGGACTCAAACCCACAACTTCTGCTTACCGTGCAGATGCGTTGCCAGTTACGCTATCCGGACCTTCAGTCTGATCTCCTCTTCCAGCGTATATAAGCTCTTTTTGACCTATAAACCGTTGTAAAATAAACGAGGTAGGTTACCCATGACAAGTTAAATGAAAGAGCATGCGGTCTTATGTTCCACGCTTGACAGTTAATTATTTGTCACGTTTCGCAGATTATTCAGTTTTAATAAATTCCAAAACATTTATATGTTGTAATCAAGGGTGTCGCCAAGGGGGGCAGCTGCCCCCTAGAAATTTGAAAAAATTATTTAAGTGCTAAGTTTTAATTAAAATAATCTTCATAGGCTTCTTGTAAGTTTAAAAAAATGTTTTAATTAAGATATTTCTTCTCTGGTACTGTACATAGTAAATGATTAAAACTTTATGAACTGTTTTTATTTTACCTACAGTACATACAATTTATATCATCTTGCTGCCTGGCACATTGGCTGGTGATGCTCTTGGTTGTAATACACATTTTATAATTAATTTAATACAGCTATGTACCATTAGTACGTATTTCTCACATTAAATACAAACTCAACTATTTCTTTGGAATTTTTAATGAAGTACAGTGTACTCTTAATAATACTGGCACTCAGGGCTGCCCACATTTAAAAAAGAATTTTTACACCCCTTCCCCTTAACCCCAGTTTACTCGTACTTCTGTATCCCGTTCGGATGTCTGATGAACTCGACCCCCGTAAAGCCTTTGCCGCTTTACAACTGATAGATACCACAAGTAGAAACGAAACTTACAAGGAACTTTGAAATAAATATAATCATGTGCATAAACTGCACCAGCTTTAATGAAATAAAATGGACATTTGCTGAAGCTCGACCCCTCCTGCCGTAATCCCCTCTCTCCCTTCTGGTGTGGACGTTGTTTAAGGATGGCCCCTTATCTAGTATATCGCCTGTGTGCTTCTGTTTCCAAGAAAAAGGTAGTCCTGTCATGAATACTGTTTTTCCATTTACTTGGGTTTTGTTTCTGTGTACGGTATTGTGCATCAGTGTGTGATATTACCTTCTTGCCTGCCTTGAAAAGTAATCGGTATGGAAGGGTGATAGATTGTTTTGTCCATAGCCTTTAGGTCTAATGCACTCGTTAATCTGGCACTCTCACTTCTGGCACTCTTCTGTCCAGATTAGCTAGAGTCTAGTGTATTAGAAAAAGTTCCTAAATTCAGTTCAAACACTTCTTCAAATACAAAAT